CGAACGGCAGCAGCAGCAGCAGCAGCAACAGCAGCAAAATTACCAGCAGCGGGGCTGAGGGCCTCCCTTGCAGCTATGCGGCAGCAGCGCCTGGCCACTGAGCTGCTGCTGCTCCTGTTGCTTTTTGCTGCTGCGCCTCAACACCTGGCTGTGGCTCTTTCGCGAGAAGCCCCATGCAGAAGCCGCGAGCAGCAGCAGCAGCTGCAGCAGCAGCAGCAGCTGCTGCTGCAGCAAGAAGGTGATCTGCTCCAACTAGCTGAAGCAAACTCAGCAAAGTCGGGCTGCAGGAAGCGTTTTGCCAGCAGCACGGGGGACCATGACAGCAGCAGCAGCAGCAGCAGCTACAGCAACTGGGCCCGCAGCAGCAGCAGCAGCAGCAGCAGCGGTGGGGATGGGGGCCCCTCGAATCCCCTGGGCCCCCGCGTGCCCTGGCAGCAGCAGCTAGAGAGCTGCAGCGGGGGCCCCAGCCAGCGAGTTTTGCTGCTGCTGCAGCTGGGGGTTGACCGCGCTGCTTCGCTGCTGCTGCGCTGCTTCGGCTACTTGCACTCCGATTTGTATCTCCAAGTGCTGCTAAAGAGGCTTAAGGAGGTCAGCAGCAGCAGCAGCAGCAGCAGCAGCAGCGGCTGGTGGCCGCTGGGGCTGGAGTGGGATGCAGCGGTGCCTTTGCTGCGCTACTTTTTGTCGTTTCTGCCCTTTCTGCTGCTGCTGCTGTCGTCGCTGCTGCTGCTGCTGACCTTTCGCCGCCGCAGCAGCAACGGAGACGCAGCAGCAGCTGCTGCTGAAGCAGCAAAAGCAGTTTCGCAGGCGCAGCGCAGCAGCAGCGATGCTGCTTACGCTGCCTTGCTGCTGCTGCTGCCAGCCTCTTCCAGCAAGGACGGCAGCAGCAGCAGCAGCAAACGCAACTTGCTGTACCTGCTGCTAGTGGCAGCAGTTGCTGTTGCTGCAGCAGCATTTGCAGCAACTGCAGCAGACAGCCTCAAAGCAGCAGGCTGCGAGGCCCCTCTTGTCTTCGAGGCATTCTCGGGCCTACCGCAGCAGCAGCAACACTCACAGCAGCAGCAGCAGCAGCACTCGCAGCAGCAGCAGCAGCAGCAGCACTCACAGCAGCAGCAGCAGCAGACGGACAGAGGCCTTTCTGCCCTACTGGTCGGCCTGCAGCAGCTTCCCGCTGACTGGGCAGCGGCTGCGCCTGCTGCTGCTGCTGCTGCACGGGGTCACTCTTCAGCTGCTGCTGTCTCGCGGGATGCTGCTGCAGCAGCAGCAGCAGCTGCTGCTGCTGCTGCTAAGCCAGATTTGTCGTTGCTGCTGCGGGAAGGCGCAGCAGCAGCGAAGCAGCTCGCGAGGCGCTGGCTGCGCTCTCAGTACGTGCTGCTGCTGCAGACAGAAAAGACCCTGCAGCAGCAACTGCAGCAGCAGCAGCAGAAGCGGCAGCAGCAGCAGCGAAATGAGAGCTTTTGGCGTCGGTCGAAACGGCTTCTTTCTGCGCTGCTGCCCTCCTGCAAGTTCGGCAGCTGCAGTGACAGCAGCAGCAGCAAGAGCAGCAGCAGCAAGAGCAGCAGCAGCAGCAGCAGCAGCACAGAGGCCCCCAGCCTGCTGGGCTGCGGCAGCAGCGAGGAAGGCAAAGATGACACAGCAGAATACTTTTCATTTGCGCCTGTTGCTGCTGGCGGCGAGAAACGCACACCCGAGCAGCAGCAGCAGCAGCAGCAGCAGGAGCAGCAGGACGCACTTCTTGTTGGCAAGCAGCAGCAGGGGCTGCTGCGCTGCAGAAGCGCAAGAAAGCTTGCTGAAGCAGCAGCAGAGATTGGTGCTGCACTGGATAAGGCGCTGCAGCAGCAAAAGCTGCTGCAGAACTTTGTAAATGAGGCCCTAGAGCCTCAGCAGCAGCAGCAGCAGCAGCAGAAGCTGCTGCAGCTGCAGCAGCAGGTAGAAGACGTGCTGCAGCAGGGGCTTCCACGGCTGTGGGACTTCGTCTTGCTGCTCCTGCGCGTCAGCAGCAGCAGCGTCGAGCAGCTGCTGCGGCAGCTGCCGCTGCTGCTGCTGGCCTCAATAGTTGCAGCAGCAGCAGCAGCAGCAGCATCTCTGCTGCGGCGAGTGGCTGCGCAGCAACCTGCGGTAAGCTCAAGGGGACGCAAACCCTTGACAACAAACCCTAAAGCCTAAACCCTAAACCCTAAACCCTAAACGCTAACTTCTGAGCCTCTTGCCACAGGCATTTAAGCTTTCTGGTTCTGAAGCAGGGTTTAGGGTTTAGGGTTTAGGGTTTAGGCGCGGGCCTGGCCGTGGTGTGCAGGGGAAGCTGCAGGCTGCATGCAGCAGCTGCTGGTGGGCCTTCGGGGCTTGCTGCTGCGTTGCTGCTGCGCTGCTGCTGCTAGCAGCAGCACTTGCTGCAGACTCGGCCCAGCTGCTGCAGTCCTTGCTGCGGGACCCCACAGTGAGGCTTAACGCTCAGGGTTTAGGGTTTAGGATTTAGGGTTTAGGGTTGCAGAATACAACAAACCGCCACATGTTACTCTAAACCCTTAAATGCGTTTGCTGCTGCTGCCCCTGGCCGTCATGGCCGTCACTTCCTGCTTGAGCAATCTTTACTCCATAGAGTCTAGGGTTTAGGGTTTAGGGTTTAGGGTTTAGGGTTTGGAGGTCGGGGTGTGCATGCAGATGCTGCCGCGCTACTTCCCTCTAGGGAACGGCGCCCTCGGAGAAATGGTGCTACGCAGCATGCAGCAGCAGCAGCTGCAGCAGCAGCAGCAGCAGCAGCTGCAACAACAGCAGCAGCAGCAGGTCCCCCTGCTGCCGCTCCCCAAAACGAGGGAGCTCGTAGACGTGGTTCAGCAGCTCAGCAGCAGCAGCAGGAGCAGCAGCAGCAGCAGCAGCACCTTGTCGAACAGCATCTCCACGCTGCAGCTGCAGCTAAAGGAACAGCCGGGAGCTGGTTGGTCAGTTGAGCTGGAAACCCTAAACCCTAAACCCTAAACCCTAAACCCTAAACTCTAAACCCTCAGCCAGGCTTTCTAGCTGATGAGAGGCTTCTTGGAACTGCTTTGTGGCTGTAGGGTTTATTACCCAGTGCCATCTCTTCCGGGATTCAGCATATCCTTGTCAAGCAGCAGCAGCAGCAGAAGCAGCAGCAGCAGCAACAGCGGCAACAGCAGCAGCAGCAGCGGCAGCAGCAGCAGCAGCAACAGCCCCATCGGCTGCCAAGACCTCCTTGCTGAGCTCAAGAAGCTTACGGGGGTTAACTGGGCATTTAGGCAAGACTGCAGCGTGGCGCTAAACCCTAAACCCTAAACCCTAAA